CGTTGCATGATGTAGAAGTGTAAGGGGGAGGAGGGGGGGGGGGATTCAAAACTGGAGAAAAGGGGAAACACAAATCTGTTTGATTTGGAGACTACCAGATCCCTGGGAAAAGTTATTTTAGTATGTTATTACTTTGAGCCGTTTAGTTACCAGAACAATATTCTGGTGCCCTGATAAACCATTCTGTCATTCATTTACAATCTGTGCATTCTCATTGTATTTAACTGTTAAAAGTAATTTTGAAACATTTCCTGCATTGAGATAAGAATATGTGACATAAGCATAAAAGATTATGTGACACAAGCATAAAAGAATGACTCAACAGTTATCTCTGCCTGTGGTTGAGCAGAACAACAAATGACTGTGGTAATACTCTGCTCCTCAGTGTTTTCTCTTGATTCTGGAATGTATATTTGTCACTTTAATAAGGCTGTAAACAAAGCATTCCAACTTGGTAGAGGAGAAGAGGCAGCAAAAAAGAGAATAGCTGTTGCAAGTATGCTTTCAGGTTACTCTTATATGTATTTAACTGGATATAGGGTACTGTATATATGCACATTTTTATATACATACATATATACATGTATATGTAAAAATAAAGCTTTTCATAGAGAAGCGTTAGTTTCATGCTAAGAGGAGGGATTGTAATATAATGCAGTAGATGTTTATGCTGCTAAATACTCTGAGAATGAGGATTTACAGATTGCCTTATGTCAGTAATAGAAAAGGAAGTGGGTCGCTATCTTTGTTTCAAGGAATCCCTTCTTGAACTTTGATTTCTCTTGCTTTGATAACTCAGTCTGCTGAACGCCCATGTCTAATAGTAAGAGCCATCTTGTAGTAGTAGAAGTAGTAGTAGTACTTAATGTTTATCCCACTTGGTTGCAAGTTCTGCTTGTTTTGCACTGCCCTCTCTGTAGTTCTTCCAGCGAAGCAGTGGATGATGTGATGCAGCTTTTTGTTTTTCAACTGACTTGTCGCAGAACCTGATGCTGATTTGAGCTAAGAGGGAGTGACTGGCTCAAGGTCACCTAGCTGGCTTCCTTGCCAAAGGGAGGGTTAGAACCTGAGTTTCCCCACTCCTAGTCTAGCACTTTAACCACTGTACTTCACTTGTGAGAGACATCCTATAGTCAAATCCCTGCAAGATGGAGCTTCTGTTTGTTGATGATTGTTCTGGCTCCATTTCAGTTCCAGTTCTGACTCTGGACAGGGTCATGCTTGCCTTGAAGGTATGAGATTTGGTGGTGGTCAGGGTCCTCATGTACTTGCATCTTCTGCTGGAAGTTATGGCCAGAGGGACCTCTGCTTTGGCTGTTACACCAATTGTGGGCCTTTTTGGACTGGAAGGCTCTGGAAAATGTGATTTATGACCTTGTTACCTAATGTGTGGACTACTGTAGCATATAGGTAGTCCCCAGTTTAGGAACGAGTTCTGTTCCCAAGATCTGTCCTTAGGTCGAATTTGTATGTAAGTCAGAACAGTATTATTGTATAATACTGTATAAATAGTATTGTATAATTAACTCAAATTTGAATCATCATGTGTTTAACTCTACATGGGGCTACCTTTGAAGCTAACTCAGAAATGTCAATTGGTTCAGAATGCTGTAGCCTGTCTGCTAATTAAAGGTGGAGAGAGAAATATTTGCACTTCCAACTATTATTTAAAATATGATGGAAAAATTGGTCTATTTTGTTTTGATTAAAGAGTGTAGTGTCCATTTTTGTTTTGTAGGTTTGCAACCGTGAGGTATGACCAGGGAGCAAAGAATATTAAAAACCAATTCATGCATCTTACAAATTATAGTGTCAACAAGAAGAGTGGTGACTATGTCAGGTACTTAGATTTTTTAAGAGTTCTTGAGTCTGACATGGAAAGAAATATCTGTTTTTATGTCTATTTAATGTATTTATATTCTGTTAAAAGTGTCTTAAAGCAATTATTAAATGCATTCAAACAATATATAAAATATGTGAATTAACAAACAGAAATTGGAGGTAGAATTCCATGACAGGTGGTCAGGGTAAAATGTATTTCTTCTGTTTTAGTTGTGATGACCCTGAAGTGGAGGACTATGGAAACAAATGGAGTATGAGTGCAATGCTGAGATACCTGAAACAAGAAGGAAAAGATACAACTGGTGAGCAGATATCTATTACTACTTCCTTGAATCATCTTTAGAATGCCTTTTTTCTCTCCTCTCCTCTCCTCTCCTCTCCTCCCCTCCCCTCCCCTCCCCATACCCTTCGAGTCAGTGTTGACTCCTGGTGACTACCTGGACAAGTCTCTCTGC